TCAGAAACAATACATCTGATAAATCCCGCTGCGTCCTGTCTTTCATTCGTCTTTAAAAAAGTGCTCAAACAGTTTTTGCCAATTTACCAGAAATAGTTTGCATAACATCCAATTATTCAACCGTTGGCAGATGTGGCTTTATACTCTACGGTGGCGATTATACATACATACATACATATATATATATATATATATATATATATATATATCCACAGCACGTATATGGATTTAACTAATAATTGGCCGTGTTCACTTTTAGATTTATCTTGTGCCATCAAAGATACCAAATAGCTCCCAATTCTACTATGGTGTGAAGTCGATTTGTGGTTTGGCTTTCACGACCAAGTCGTCAAGCTCGGTGAACAGTTCAACAGCTGGTTATTTCTTGGCCATTTCACCACCGTAGTCGTATTGGAATGCATTTTGGGGACAACCGAGCAATGTTCGCGTCAGCATTTCGGTATTCATTTTCGTGCAGATCACACGTTCTCTCAATTAAGTCATTGTATGACAATAAGAACTCCGTTGACATCGTCCTTACACATTTTTCGTTCTTGGGCAACACCAACTGCCAATAAACCTTCAAGTAACTTTTGTGACTGAATTGCAAATCACCACGCTTCTGAGGACGCGTTTGATCAAAAGCATTGGCGTTGATGTGAACAGCGGTATGTTACTTGGTCGTTGGTTCGCTTCTTACCAACAGCTTGGAATCGGAGCACAACTCCGAATGTGCACCGGGTGCAACAAATCTGCCTGTCTTCTTTGGTCCCATCGTTTCTTTCACCCGAACTTCGCCGTTCTCCACGGTTGCTGCCATTATACTCACTCCCTTGCGTTTGTCTTATTGTGTCACTTGTTCTGCGATTGGTGCGCTTCACGTTGAATTTCCCCATTCTTGGATAGCCCCGCACTCCCTCATCATCATCCTGCATGTGAGCTCGAGTTGGGAAACACCTTAGCTATTGTACCACTATACAGCTCGGCTGGATGCTTGTGAAAAGAAGAGCAAAACTAAGGCAAAGGCAAATCATACCAATATTTGTTTTTATTCTTCGATAAGAACATGCTTGTAGAGGGATCTTAGTAGGAGGAGTGACAAAGAGTGTCAAAACGCAAATGCGTCCGATGTCTGCTCCTCGCCATATCAGTGGTTGCCCCCAACCCGAGGTGTTCATCGTTTTGGGACTCCACCTCGGGGGTCTGGAGGCACCAATCGGCACGAAATTCGAAACGAGAATCTTCATTCCTCGGCTGGCTTCCTTTCTTCCACCCACATCCCGGTTGCGCAAACACCGCACCTCGTAGGATTCGGTGTACTGACATGCGTAACACATTGTCCATCTATCGGAGGTCAGTACGTGAAATAGCATTGCCGAGCGTTGCATTTTCACCTCCTGCACCACCATGCCCAAGACGCCGGACACGCTCACTGCTCTCCCGGTGTTCCCACCGCCTATGAACCAGGCAGCTAAGATACCTGCGGTCGAATACAATTAGTCTCTTTACGTCTGAGTAGTGAGAAGATATATGTTGCGATATGTTAACATTGCGATTGTTCTCATCAGTCGCAAAACACAATACAAGCGGGATTCATGGACAGTCATATACAGGGGGAAAAGGTTGATACACCAATCAAAATGTTAAAATCAAGACCACGGTAACTTAATTGATTGTCTCAATAGTTTCTGTGCACACAACACAGGTTGATAAGCCCTAATTAACAAGGCCTCGCTGATTGCCAAGATTAGCGGATTGTTGTTACGTAACAACACCTTGAACGCAGTCTCCGGGTTCACCTGATGTCGGGTTGCCAAGAGATGCTTGGTGATAGACGATGCGGGACTCAGGTTCATCCTCGGATCCACTCCGTTTTGTTGCGTCATCAGTTGTTCCACCCACCTCGGCACATGTTCAGCTACCCTCTAAGCTAACTGACGGTCAATCCTGCCTATGTAAATGTCACTGCAACCGCAGGTGAACTGGTAAACGACGTGAGAGGCCGAACTGACTGATGAGTTGCTCTGACGGTCATGAAGAACAAGGCTTCGCGTTGTATGAATGAGTCGCAACTGGGCGGTCGCGTAGGTGCGCGTAACGGCGGACCGGGGTTTATGTCCGATATCATTTGATACGTGGTCTCCTTTGAACGGCAGGAACAAGTAAACATTCTTTTTCTCTGCGGTTAACACCGGTATTTTCTCCTTGGGAGGCCTGCTGTGTATTTGAACGAACTTCTCAGGATACCCATTCGACACCAAGGTTTTGAACAAAAATTCTTCTTCATAGGCAGGACTGACCGTCAGTTAGCTCAGAGGGTAGCTGAACATGTGCCGAGGTGGTTGGAACAACTGATGACGCAACAAAACGGAGTGGATCCGAGGATGAACCTGAGTCCCGCATCGTCTATCACCAAGCATCTCTTGGCAACCCGACATCAGGTGAACCCGGAGACTGCGTTCAAGGTGTTGTTACGTACCAACAATCCGCTAATCTTGGCAATCAGTGAGGCCTTGTTAATTAGGGCTTATCAACCTGTGTTGTGTGCACAGAAACTATTGAGACAATCAATTAAGTTACCGTGGTCTTGATTTTAACATTTCGATTGGTGTATCAACCTTTTCCCCCTGTATATAACTGTCCATGAATCCCGCTTGTATTGTGTTTTGCGACTGATGAGAACAATCGCAATGTTAACATATCGCAACATATATCTTCTCACTGCTCTGACTAAATGGCTGAAGGGGACCCACTGTTTTACCTCTTTACGTCTGTTGATCGGATGGGCTCGGTTTCACAATTTTGCAGGAGAGTTGATCGGACGGGAACATTGTAGACTGTACTTTCCACGAAAAACACTTAGGCTGTTTTATCCTTTCGGGAATCGTCAGCAGTGCGCATTTTATCGAACTCGCGACTCGACTGTTGCCAGTCTGTGGTTTAGACCACTCAGCTACGGGCTAAGGTAATGTCGCGCCGGTGCCATACTTGACAAAGTTGTGCAAAAGCGACTAGAATTTTCAATGTACGGTTAATAATCACAACTACTGCTCCACGAGTCCTGATACGACTGTCCAGGTTGTTAAATATCTAAGCCACTTCTAGCTGATCCATCTTGCCACCCCAAACACCCCATAACTTTTGTTTAAGCGGTATCATTGTTCCACAACGCACAAGCACTCGAGATACATTGTGGCCGAGGTGCAGAGACTGAACTGTGTTCAGCATACAGCTACCTGGCGTACCCCCACTTTGCAGGGTATGTCGCACAAACACCGCTGTAGGAGACTGGGGCTGTACACCTTGTCGTTTCATCGGTTTTGATTGGATCTCATAATGACGCAGCGGATATTACATCTCGGTCACTTTCCTGGACTGAGGCCGCTTCCTCACGTGCGCATCGAGCAGTTCTCAATGTAAGCTCGTATTACCGGATCTGAATTCGACTACTCATTCTCCACTAGAACATTTTGCTCGAGGCAATATCGTTGTAGAGATTCAAAAATTCCGATTTGCTTACTTTGAAGATTTTGAAGTGCCACGCGATATCTAACCCACAACGCAGCAAGGTTCTGTGAACGAACTCTTCCCGCTAAAACTCGCACGGTTTAACGATTCATCTGTGTTATAACTAAAAGGGTTAATGAGTATTACGGGGGTTATTGATTCTTTAGAGAAGTTTCTTCGCGGCTAGACTCAGTCAGACAGTCACCACATATCCAGGAAAGCGCCGGATGACTTTTTTCCTATTGTAACTCGTCAGTTGCACGCTCACAGAATCCTAGCGCATGTCTTTACTCGTAAGAGTCAGCGGCTCTTCCACCGAGCTGTCGGTGACGAAGGCGGACCGCAATAACGTATTTCTAGTTGCGATATATCGTGATTCATCTGCCACTGCAATGCATATAAATAACCTGCGAAGGACGGGGCTGGCTCCTATAGCTACGGCTGCCTTTGCAAGGCACCACCAGTGGAGGTGTTATGTAAGCTGCTGAGACCAGTATTGATTATTGGAGACTAGTAGGAAAATTTGTTGTATTTCTTTGCACGTTCATAACATGCATGGCAGTCTAGGATAAGCCGCGCTATATCGCAGTTAGATATCAGTCATAGCAGTCCGCTGCTGTCGCCCGTGGCTCAGTGGCATAACTCGCCGTCTCATAAGAGTAAGGTCATGGGTTTGAATCCGGCAGGCTTTGGTGGGTGCGCGCTACTGACGAGTCTCAGTGGGACGAAACGGCTGTCTAGCGCTTTCCTGAATGTGTGGAGACTGTCTGCCTTGGGTTAACTGCGACGAATTTTCAAAAAATACCCAATTAATCCCTCTAATGTGTAAACTAATCAGTAGCCGCTTTAGCAGCTTACATGCTACTTCTATTAGTGGCGGCTTGCAAAGAAGTCGTAGCTCTGGGGGCCAGCGCTGTCCTCTACACGTTCATAACCGGGCATGGCAGTGGAGGATGAGCCGCGTTATTTCGCTGCCAAACATCGGTCATGACGGTCCACCATGGCCATCCATGGCTCTGTAGCATTAGTCGCTGACTTGTACGAGTAGGGACATGGATTCGGATCTGGCGAAAACGCACTACTGACTCACTACGCTGTGCATGCGTTTTGGCAAGACGAGTTTGCTCACGAAACCATGCTGCGTCGTGGTTTGGAAGTCGCGTGGTCACACCGCGTGTGCCACACGGTGTCGCACTTTGATTACGTAAGCAGGTGTTGGAGACCTTGCAGCAGGTGCGCGTATCTTTGCGGAAGCGCTTGACGTTCTCGTATTCTGTTTGTATGACACATAGTTCTAAATGAAATTGCCCCAAATTTATGAGACGCACGCCTGTTCTTACAGGATAATGCTTCGGAACTTAGTGACCTAATTTTGTTGCCACAATGCATATTGCTGATTTCGTTTCGTTTCCTTTAGAGGCTTAGGCTTACTTTTATTAAAGCTTGTTGTGGAACATGTGAGATTGATCATATTGTTTTATCTATTTCACTAGATCGCTGTTGCTCGCGAAGCCATCGAAGAAGCTCACGAACGCTGGCAGACCGCTGCAGCCCGGGCGAATACGTGTTCAGTTGTGACACCCAAAGTGCTGGGTTCGCTGCCCTTCACCACCTCCAACGAGACGAATCACAGCGGCATCCAGATGACTGCATCTGCTCCGTCAAAGAGACCAGGTGATCGAACGAAAGACTCACGTCTCTCCTCGCGATCGAAGCTAACCGGGGAGGTTAACTCTTGCACCGATGGTGTGGATGGGCAGAACGTGTAAGCGTATTTACAAATTTTTATATAACTACTTTTATTCTTGATCTCAATGCCACTTACTTCGAATGCCTTCATTTATGCCATTTATGTTCATTTTTGAATCGGATATTACTCTCCTGTCACAGTGGGACAACTTCGAAACAATGTGGCATGTAAGTACAAGACTTATCAGGCTTATGGCCTTGTGTGCGATCTCTTGAGGCGTCCACCGCGCTTACTTTTCAAGACAAAGCTTGCCAAGAGCTGATACTGCAACTCAGATGTCACTTGATGAATTTGTAGGACAGTTTGTCTACCTGATCTTTCTGTACCTCCCTAGACGGTGGCTGTCTTTCTTGTGGTGTCGTACCCGATTTGATTTATTGCTCTATTCTGTGCTCTCACTGAACCGTAACCTGAACCCAACCATGTCCGGCACATCCAATTGCCTTGAATCGCGTCCTCGTGATGAGCATCTTTAAGAAGATTGAATCCCCAGTTGCAACACGATGGAGAAGGGCCAAGAAGTATAAACTGAACTAAATTATCCTAGTCGGGAACTTATTGGCTGGACGAAGTAGACCGTACATACCAACGCTATTGACTCCGCAATTGAACCGTACTGGATAAGATTCCGGACCGCTGGAGTCATCGATCCTGCAGCTCCCATTCACGAAGATGACACGTACCCATCCCTGGAAGCTGTCATCGCCATTTCATTGTTGACGGTGAGGGCCACTTCATGACCCAACTGCAATCTACGAACCATTCAGTGACTTCTTTGCTACTTTTATGAGTCACGAAGCTGACTCTTCGCCTATGTATGCATACGTTACAGTAATAAACCTCTTAGGTCTACTCGATATCTCGCTCAACGGCATCCACCAAGTTATTAAGTCAATCAGGCCATTCTCTAAGCTGAGATCTGATGACATTTAACCAACCACTATTAAACTAGGAGGGCCAGATATATTACTGCTCCTAATGATTATGTTTACCCTATCACTGGAGTCTAGCCACTTTCCATATCAATGGCAAATGTCATTTATCGTGCCTTGGCACAAAGGAGGGCCTAAATAAACAATTGGAACTACCGGCCAATCCACCACATTCCAATAATCGCTCGATTATTTGAAAAACTGGTTAGAAAGGTAATGAACTTTGTCGGTTCTTTGAGCCTGACAAATAATTCGCGGCATGGTTTTCTTGACAAGCGATTGTGCATCACCTGACAACCGCAGGTGAGGTCATCCAAGGGAGCGTGTTCAGTCCTTCGCTGTTTCTGCTTTACATCAATGACATCAACCCATCTGTAAAACATGGACGGCCATTTCTCTTTGCTGACTGTATCAAGATCGTCTATAAGCTTCGATGTGATGAACTTCACGGGACGGTACTGCTCATTTAAGATAACTTATCCTCGCTTGAGTCATGGTGCCACACGCGGGTGATGAACCTCTCGTGTAAGAATTCAAACCTTATATCTTACTGATGTTCCACTTCCGAAGCATCTATCACTGAACTGTGAGCATGCCCCACTGCAGCTGTCCATGCGGCATCTTGGAATTAGGTACTCATTGACCTTCATTCTTTCCGATCTGGCTTAATACTACGTAGCACGTGCCAGACAATCTGTGTTCAATCTTTCTAACAAACTCAACACAACCCATGCTAGAGCTGAGTTTTTCAAGCGTCTCACACCTCCTGTCCTCGAATACTACACCTTAATATACACAAATATGAAAAAGAGTGACAGAACTGCTATGGAACATCTGCAGAGGTCATTTACTAAACATCTGATTAGTGAGCACAGTGCTATGAGTTATCGGGAACATTGCAATGAAATTCAACTCGAACCACTTTGGATTCGACGATTGAAGCACAAGTTGTTGCTGCTTTTCAACGGCTACACATAAAGACCCATTCCGACCTGCCAACACTCAATTTAAAACATTGCTTGACTCGAGCGCATTGCAACAAACGTTTTACACTGAATCTGCCGAAGGCTAGAACGAACGTCCGCTCTAATTTCTTCCTCATCATATATAGCTACCTGTGGAATAAACTACCAATAACACTCAGGTCATGTGACAATGTGGCAACATTTAGAAGCAGACTATCCAGTTACCTTGATCTAACTACCATAATCACTATATTCACATGGGAAAAATCCCTCGCCTGGTCAATGGCACATCTATGTATGCAATCTTGGAGCGCAAAACCTTACAGACCATTTCTCACGGACACGATCACGATATGGTCGAACAGGACGACCTAGGCTCTTCCATACAGGCTGGATATACTACACCAGAGCTAACCAACGTGTTGGTCTTTTAGTGTGATGAGCATTCGTTAGTTTGAACCCATGCATCTGGCGCTCGATGTCTGTGGGCCGCCACGGCGTCTGAGAAAACGTCAAACTAATCTTTCGAAAGCTACCGGCGATGCTAGGCTGGGTATGTACAATGCTTGTGCCAAATGCTGGGGTTGTCCAGGGTCAGCTACTGTTGCTGGGCATCATTTGTGGAGCACTGCCTAGAGCAATTAATCTGCGAGTCATCACGCGTAATCGATTGTGTGGTGGTATAGATTTGCCGCAGATTTGGCGATGGAACCACCTCCTTTTGCTTCTGCTGATCCTGGAGTACCTGTGTCGACTCTGACCATGCTTTGGTGCGCTGTCGTTTCTCCATGAACTTTACCGGAAGGCGCACAAAGCGTCTCCCCCGATTGGCAACGGAGAAATTGTCCCAGCCCTCTGTCAGGCAAGCCTATCAAGAAGCACTGCATAACGAACTCTCGCTGTCTTGTCCTAATGATACTGATCTTCAGTGGGATAGGATCTCTCGACTGCCATGCACGACGCAGGAGCATCTGCTTGTGGCACTATCAGTCGTCATCGCACCAGTCACTGGATATCCGAGAGGTCCGTGAACCTTTTGGAAGCTAGAAGGCACCTCCCGGCTGGTTCTGAACACAATGTGACCAGACGGGCTATTAAGCGTGAACTAAAGCGGAGCCTACGTGCTGACAAGGAAGCCTGGTGGACCAGTCGGGCTCAGGAAATGGAGGAAGCAGGAGTAGTAGGCAATTACCGGAAGCTCTTCCGGCTAATACGCACCACTGGTCCGAGGAAACCAGGCGTCGGTGAGACAATCAGGGACAGCGCGGGTGCGCTGATACACAATAAGGAGCGCCGTATGGCTCGTTGGTCTGAGCACTTTGAACATCAGTTCAGCTGGCCCCCTGCTCCCGGACCTCTTCCTACTCAGGTGATGCAGGACGAGCCATGGACGGTTAGTTGAGGGCCTCCGTCGGAGGCCGAGGTCCGCAACGCGATCACAGCCCTCAATCGGTTTCGTGCGGCTGGCCCGGATTCCCTCCCACTTGCACTATTTAGGGATGGAGGTGTGGTCCTCTGCAAAGCACTGACATCCTTATTCGAATGTATCTGGAACGAAGAGAGTGTGCCGGCTAATTGGAGCGAATCGATTGTAGTGGCAATATACAAGAAGGGCAGTCGCACAGACTGTGCGAACCACAGGGGTATTAGCCTAACGCCAGTTGTGACAAAATTACTGGCCTCGATTATCGTTCGTCGCCTCACTGCAGAACGGGAATCTCGGATTAGAGCAGAGCAGGCCGGTTTTCGCCCAGGACGGGGCTGTATAGACCATATATTTACTTTGCGGCAGGTGCTAGAGCAACGCCACGCATACCACAGACCGACAATAGCTGTGTTCCTCGATTTCAAGAGTGCGTTCGATTCAGTCGATCGATCGATTCTGTTCGAAATACTTGCGCGGAATGGTGTTCCCACGAAATATGTGAACATCCTTCGTGCTCTATGCTCGAACACTAGAGGCCGCGTCAGGGTCTATGGTGCCCTATCGGATAGCTTTTCGACTACAAGTGGCGTTCGACAGGGTTGCCCGATTTCCCCGTTTTTGTTCAATTTCGTCGTGGATTCTATCATGGAGTGTTCCCTTGGGGAATCTCACGATGTAGATGTTGAAGTGCTGCCTGGTGAACGGTTAGTTGATCTAGATTATGCAGACGATATCGTGTTGCTTTTCGACAATGTTGAGGCGGCACAATCAACCCTGAATAGCCTATCCAAAGTGGTCCCATTATTTGGTATGCACTTCGCACCTTCAAAGTGCAAAGTGTTGCTGCAGGACCATCAGCCACTCGATGACCCCTTGACGCTTGCTAACGAGGAACTCGATGTGGTTGATCGATTCACTTATCTTGGCAGCTGCATCAGCAATGATGGGCGCATAGGAACTGACGTGAGCTCACGCATAGCAAAGGCCAGAGCTGCCTTCTTGAACCTGCGTCATCTTTGGCGACAGAAGGGAGTTTCTCTCCGTCTGAAAGGCCGTGTATACAAGGCCACAGTGAGGGCCGTTCTGCTCTATGGTAGTGAGATTTGGCCCCTTCGGTCTGAAGATCTGAGGCGCCTTCAAGTCTTTGATCATCGTTGTCTGCGAAGCATTGCTGGTGTCGATGGCACCAGCGTGTCCGCAACGATGATGTGCGTAGGCGAGTACTAGGTGGTGATAATCATGCTAGCTCCCTAGAACAACAGATAGCACTGAATAAGTTGCGTTGGCTCGGGCACGTGCTACGCATGCCTGGTCACCGCTTACCTAGGAGGGCCTTGTTCAGTCTACCAGGTGTCGGATGGCGCAAGGCTCGAGGTGGACAGAAGTTGACTTGGCAGCGGGAAATGAAGTCACTGACGACCAAACTGGGTGCCGTTGGTCCGTCTCGCCTTCCGGGTTGGAGTCCACGTGACTCACCTTGTGCTTGGCTCGAGACTTTACAGGACGTGGCTCGCAACCGACACCAGTGGCGCGTCGGCTGCCGTCTCCTAATCGGATTGTCTGTTTAAAGTGTGTTTGGTGCTGAGTTATCTGCGGGGTAATGGCTGATTATGACGCGGGGCAGTGAAAGCCGCAAGGAAGCTGTCTCGCCGATGCCGCCTTATCTTTGCACGATAGCCAGCTGTTTGTGAC